AGCGTTTGATTTGACTAATGGTTTAAAATAAATCCATGCATGTGTTGTGTGCTCGCAGATTTTATCGCTAATTTGCGGCATTAATGTACAATCTCAAACAAAACTACTCGGTAAATCTTATGGTATTATAAAATCGCGTGTTTGAGGAATTTAACTGCGTTCCTCTATTATACCGCATAAGCTAACTAATCACCGCGACCCCGTTTACCATATGCCAACGACTGTGGGGTTGAAAACCGCGCACAGGAATTACTCGTTACTGATTGGTTTATAGTCACATACACACGCACCTGTGGAATGGTTTATATTGGGTGCGTAATGCATTAGGAGGGCACTAAAGAAGTAAGAATGGGCATGAGTTTATTCCTTATTTTATCTTGGTTGACTTCCCTATGCTATGCTAAACCTTCAGCCCATCCAGGTTTATCAATAGTGACGACAAGTATTGGTGGAGCAGGACCTCATCTTATGCCTAAAAATGCCGATTACTCCCGCAAAGTCAGTGTTAGCGTTGGTTCTGTTCTAAACCAGCAAGAAGCCGCCGTGGCTGCAGCCAAGGCCAGCACCGATCATCCGCATGGAGCAGTGGGCGCAAGATCCGTATCCGCCTATGACGATCCTACGGCTCTACGACTCCACTCCTCAATGCTGAATAACTACCCATCCCGAATTGACATCAGCAGTTTCCATGGCGAAAAAATTAACAGTGCAGCCATTTCATATCTGCAGCCTGATCTCAGTCGCGGAACTGTTGCAAAACTACGGGTGATTTTGGGTGCCGACTATGACGATGCTTGGATGTCGGTAGAACCTCGACCGCCAGGTAACGAATCAACTGGGTACCCACCGTCATCATCCAAACAAAACCTCCTACGACAGGTGGAAGCAATGAATTTCAGCATTTTTGACGAGTCCCCTGGGGCTATGCATCAGGAGATTCCGTTGAGTGAGAAGGAGTCAAACATACTAAGGAGGTGGTTGGTACAACGCGCCGACTGTCCTGTGCAATATGTGTGGCGAGACAATGGAAATCGGTACTGGCCACGGTGGATTCGGCATGCTGTTTGCAAGGAGGCTGTTGCCTGCTCCTGGCCTCCTGGAATGCAGTGCAAGCCCAGTGGAACCAAAACTCTGACATTGCTTAGATGGGTGAGTTGAAGAGAAATGGCCTTGTCAAACACGATGGTAACTTTGAAAAATTTGACATACCAATAAGCAGAAAATTAGGTTAAAAGAAAGCAATGAGCAAATGTTGATGCGGCAGCCCCCAAATATCAGCACCTGAGATTTTGTGAAAATTACGACAATTAAATCATTAAACACTAATAAGTAGATTTCGTGAAAAGGTTACCAAAAATGTTTATGTTCGTGAACCATTTTTGTTCTTCTAAACCCAAGCCATTATTTGTTGATTGTAATAGACCTTCATACCGAATTAAATTACTGGTGTCTCGAATTACAGGTGTAGCCAGGGCCTAGTTCCTCTAGTTAATTCGGAAAGCATTTTAATGCCTACCCTCATCTAAGTGGGTCTTCCCAAATCCGGAACAGTAACCATTTGGACACCAGTTGTTGTTCGCTCCTACGTCGAAATTGTTATCGCCTCTTCATGGAGGCAGTTAACCACGCCAGTCTACTTGATGGTTAGCACACACAAGACCATTATTTCTCAACGTCTGGTGAATGTAGTTAAAATTTTTGCATTTAGCAGTCAAAACCCATCTCTGATGCTTGTGATGTTGGGCATAGAGGGGTGAGTGAGAAAGATTAGTGTTTGCCTAGCTTCTGTGTCCATAAGTACTGCTTATTCGGGCGCATCTGACACTGGAATTCCGTCATCACTGTCTATATTGTTTCATGAAAAGCTACCTGTCAAGTTTCCACCTCCAATTAACCCGAAACCGTGTCGAAAACAGAAAAAATTCAGGGCAAAAAGTTCATTTAGTCCTTCTCCAGTGCCTGACATTAAATCT